ATATTATAAATCAAATACATTTAAATAAGGGATATTTAAAAAAATTTAGACGTCTTTAATTAAAAAGTGCATATAATACATTTTAAAACATTGCATAATACATACGATATGAGGCAAATACTTTTTTATTCATTTTAATTGCCATTTTTGCTATGTTTTGACTGATTCATTATAATTTTAATAAACAACTTCATATAGTTCATTATATTTTTCGAAACTGTAGTTTCTTTTTTATACCTTGATTTCATTGTTATATACAATTTATTTTATAAATTTTATGGATACGTGTTGTAGTTTCATACTTTAATTAGCTTTATATTTTATTATTAATGGTTTTAGTTTTCAAAATATCATTAAAATTTTAAAAAATTATAAACAAATTCTAAAAATAAAATTAATTTATTGAATTAATATTTTTCGTTGAATGAACTTTCATGTTCGCAAAATAATGTTTAATTATTTAATAACAATTGAAGAACTATTTTAAGAAATGATAGTAATAATTCACTATTTTTTGGAACATGGTACTTAAACATTAAATTATTTCTTACTATTATTCCCTACAAAATTCACGAACACATCTCATTGTTGATGTATGAAGATCATGATGTTTCTCATCAAGCATGCCAAAAAAAACTATTGTGTGTTATTTGAGAACATGGCCAATCCTTAAATTGTACAAATCGCTTCAATTTAAAACAGTATATCACAGAATACCATAAAATATCACAGACATTTAGAACTATCTACAATATTACAACATACTGTAAGATTCACTTTATGATGCTTAAAATATTTTTGCATTATGTGAGTATCATTTCAATGAAATATGTTCTATTTTACTACTTAAAAGAAACTATGCAAATGAATAAGATAAAATACAAACAAAAAATCAAAGAAAAAAAGAAACGTATCAAGAAACAGATATATTGCACAACAAACATCAAGAATCAGTGTAATGCTGCGACCTATTTAAAACTATTCAAATTCTTGAGACAAACGAACAGATGCTTTAGTTTTGATATTGAATTACTAATTACAGCAAGATATTCAATTACTAATCTCTCCAAATTTACATATATGTCTCTTGAAACGTGCCATGTGTGTCCTAAAAATCAACTAAACTAAATGTTATGCTTATCTTTGTTATGCTATCATTCTTTTTATATTTTCATTTCCATCTATGTAACTTCATAATAAAGATATACTATAAGAATTATCTCTGGTCATTGCAACTTCAAATCAAATATGTTTCACTTTGTTTCAATTTAGATCTAAACTCTATTTTCTCGCATAGAAATATTTAATATAGTTAAGATTTTATTTTATATATTATATAGGTATATTTTAATCTCATTTTACTAATAAAAATGTATTTAGAGATGATATAAAATTAATCAATCGTCAATGTTTCAAAATATGCAAAACAAACCACTAGATTCACAAACGAAAAATAGAACCTTCAATGAACAAAGCTAATTTACTATTTTCAATAATTTCTTTTACCAAACATACCTTGAAGCTTCATGCATCTAAAATAACTTTACTTATAAAATTATTAGCTCCCTTATTTCTTAACGTGGTTTTAATTCTTCGTTTAGCTTAAGCTTAGTAATTTTTACCTACTTTTATTTTGCATTTAAATTTTCTGTTGGTAAATTTAACAAAACAAAAATATATTCAATTTTTAGTAATGATACGATGGAGTATCATTTAAAAAAATATATATGACGGTTTTGGGGTCAAACAAAAACAGAGAATGCTTCACCGCTTTCTTTTTATCGAATTTTTTTTTAAGAAAAATAAAACATTCACCCATTCTTAAAACTGAGCACATGTGTGAAGATTAAAATATCTAAAATGTTCTGAATATCATTCAAATAAATGTTTTCATATCATTTGTGTATAAACAAAGTAAATTTTTGTCTTTCAGATATAGTTTAAAATATGGTAAATCAGGAAACATTTTAATATATCATTATAATATATCCAAATACATAACGATTCTTCATTGTTGCTTTGAATTATTTAAACCTATAATCATCTAAATAAGGATTGATTGAATTGTTTAGTTTTTAATTATAAGATTTGTAATCTATCAATTAAATATTTGGAACATTTTATTAATAAAGTAATATTAAAAATACAATTAATTTCCTGTAACATAATTTAAATCTTTCATCAATAAATTGAAAATATCGGGGAAATAGTTTATGCCGATTGATTAATTTTCAAATACTCATCAAGAAAAATTATAAATCCCTTTTGCAAATCTTTTAAGCAAATCCCTTCATAATTTCTGAAAAAAATGTTTGATTGTCCTTAATGGTGATAAATCAGATTTATTTTTGAATTTGAATTTAGTTTCTATATACACTGAAAATGAAATATCATTAAAATTACCAGAACATGGTAAAATTTACCATATTTCTGACTCAATGGGAACATCAAAAATCTCGATATTTTCTATGAAGTGGTTTGGTAATGAATTCTAGTAAAATTAACAATAAAATATGGTCTTTATATGTGATAAGAATTGGTAAATATGTGATAAGAATTGGTATGTGATAAGAATTGGTAAAATATTTTATATGATAAAACTAGATATTTTCTTTAACCATTACCAAGCAAACTGAAAAATTACCAAATGGATGGTTTAAATATTTTGGTTTTATTAACAAAAATTATGGGGTCTTTTTATATCACAAATGTCATTATCATACAGTACTGTAATCTTAATAGTATTTTTTTCTCGTGTACCATTTAGGCATTTGGATATTTTATGTACTCTTAATTTCAAAAAATGAACAAACTGACTTACTTTCATTAACAAAGTTAATCAGCATTCTTTCCCTGTATTCAACAATCTATTAAAACTTTTCTACTCAAAACTTTTGCATATTTCAACTTATTACGCAATAGCCATTGTTATTAAATTATGTAAGTTACTTTTTAAAATTATTTAAATAAAACTGATGAGTTAAATTCCATTACTTAACCTAAAAACAATGAATCATGAGATAATTTTCGATATTGCACCAGTAAAATTTACCATAAAAGGGAATTACCAAAAGTATTTTCAAAAAAAGATTATCTCACTTCCGCAAATAGCTATTCTTGCTAGCGATTAATTTTCTACGGTGAACTTTTCTGATTCATGCATGTTTTATTTCAAACAATTAGGGAACATAAATTACAACTTTGTGACGAATAAATGTATTTTCCTTTACATTATTTCTCGAAAAGGAATGGATTGTTCGCACTTCTCAACGCCTCTCGACTGAATTTTTTTAACTCAAATATTTTCCACGAAGAAACAAATATTAAATACTTATGTTTAAGGTTTCAAAAAATGAGATGTACGTGTCTTTTTTAAATAGCATTTTCCCAAATTCTTAAATAAATGAGTTATTACAATTTTATCAATTTTTTTATTACAAAAAGGTAAAATTAACCCACATTGTGGGTTAGTTTCATTTAAGTATAAAGTAACTCATTATATTTTTTGCCTGGAATTCAAAGTCCCTTATAGCTAAAATTTTAAACTAATAGCATTTAAATATTTAAAAATTGACGCTTATGAGTGCTCTTACCATAATTTATTTCATATATACACAATTTAATTTCAATAAATTATAGTAATGATATAACTTTAATTATGAAAACTTGTAATATTTTATTTTATTTATAAATAATTCAATTTCAGGAAAATGTAACCGTATTCTAATTTTTACCTTAACTTTAATACATAAAATTCGAACAATAATACAAGATAACATTTTTCATCATATTATGTATTTTAACCCAGAAGAAAATTTATGTTTTTAAGTTTCAAATATTGACAATAACAGCTGATCGAATATCAAAAGAACAACAACAAAAATTTGTGTAATAAAAGTAATTGCATCATAATATATAACTGTCGACGACAATGAGTTTAATGTAAAAATATGAAATGAAGCATCAATAATCTGTAATGATCAATCATTTATAAATGGTCATTTCGATTATGGAGTAAAATAAGCGTCTGCGAGTCCTTTTTATGCTTTGCATTGTTATAACAACAATTCTCTTTTTATATTTGAACTTCTTATCCCATATCTATTGTAACAATCCTATCATTTTTACAAAACGAGTGATATAAGTCACAATTATTTTCACATCAACACTAAGCCTGTTATATGAATGCAAATTGTGTAAGCAGAAAGTTCTATATTCTGATAATGTGCATAAGTGATTTCAATAATAAAACTATGCCTATTCGTTAAAGTGTGGAAGACTTTTTACCTCACCTATTAGAAATTTTAGAAAGCAAAATTTATTACTTTATTTAAAAAGAAATTACTGCATTATTGTTTTTTAATCTTATTTTGTTATTAGATAATACAAATTAGTCGCATAATAAATTTTTCTTGAGGCTAAACTCTCTCATTTTTTATTCATATTATGTTCAAATTATCCGAACAAAATGTAAATATGTCTTCATAACATAATTTTTCCTTAGTTCAAAGACAGTTACATAGAACAAAGTTAATTTCTTAAAATTACAGTTATCTGAATAAAATTGTACTACGTTAAACATTTTGTTAACATCCAAAGGATATTGAAAACACAAAAATATTTTTTGAAGCACTGAAAGTAATTTTATTTACAATGATCAGGTTAAGGAGGAAACCAATTTTTCTGAATAATTACTTCAAAAAAAGACTCCTTTTTACTAAAGATTCCTTCAAAACACGTATACGATAATACAATATAAATTACCAATATCTTAATCTTTAAAAAAAATTTCATTATATACTTTTTGGATTGTATATTTTTGAAAAAATATTTCTGGGTACACATCTGCAAATCACATAAAAAAAATTTAACTATTCACCCGTCAAAGTGTTGTTCACTCTTATAAAAGTATTATTTACTATCACAGTAACTTACAATACATAAAATAACGAAAAGAATAGTAAATTGGTGAAATAAAATTAGATTTAGGCAGTACTTACACATTCCTTCTCCAAGCAACCACACTTCAGGCATAGAGTGCAATTCAACAAGGGCAGGCGGAACACAAACAAGAAGAACTAAGAGATCAGCGACACTTAAGTTCATGAGGAAAAGGTTAGTTGAGTTCCTCAACTCTTTAAACTTCCAGACGACAGTTGCAACAAGAACATTGCCAACTGTTCCGAATGCGAGTATAACAGCACACACTGCCGTGGCCGTTATTCGTATGTAAGATGGCAATTCAGTATACGGTGGGCCATTTTGTTGCCTAAGACGGGAACAGCCAACTGCACTGCAGTTGGCAAGGTAAGTCAGATTCTCTGGAGCTGGGAAATTAAAATTTCCCGTGAAATTATCGTAATCGATCATCATTATTAAAAAACGTCTGTAAAAAACAGCACATCTTTAAGTTTACAAAGGAGATTTTCCAGTAAAAATACGCTTTAGAACTTTTCTTTTACGATAAAGTTAGATAATTTTGATGTCCTCTGAATTTCTTCACTTAAATGTCTGAATATAATTGCCATAGTTTTCATCAGTGTGATATAAGTGGAGATACTTATTTTATCTATCCGAAATATAATTGGCGTTTACTATCCATTGGAATAATTTCTCTTTTAATTTAATACATACACGAATATAGAATTTATTAATTTTTGTCTTTTCATTCTTCAAGAATACATAAACTGGCATGTAGTAGTTCTTAAGCTACTTGCTATTTCATTATTTGCCGTAAATTTGTGATACAAAATAATATTTAACTAGATGTGAGTTAAATGTTGTTAATGAATCTTACTTCAAAATAATTTTAAAGACTATATTGTATTTTCCCTAGCTATTTTCATAGGACCTCGATCATAAAGTTGAAGCCTATTTTTCTATAGTACTTTTATAAATACACAAATTAAAGAAAAAATTATTTTGCAGATTTTTCAAGTGATCCTTTGATGTATAGAATATAAATCATATACATTAGTTTAACTATTTTTACAGAACCTTTTAAAGGGTAACTTAAAATCTTTCATTTAATATATAATTACGATTGATATTTAAATAAATCTCAAATATTTAGTATCACAGATGTAAAAGGATATTTTCAGAAATAAATTTTAAACTAAACTTTGTTATTAATAATAAAGTAGGGAATGTACAAGATATGTCATACGTGCTATAAACAATTTTATTAAAATGTTGTCCAACCAAAGATGTTTTTAAATATTCTCACAATTTCACCTTTACAAAATGAGTTTACACCAAATCTTTTTCTTGCGATAAACATATTTCCATGAATCAAAGATTATTTTCGAACATTTTGGTATTGGGTATTCTGCAACAATTTCAGCTATGGGAGTGTTTGATAGCCAGTATTTTCTATAAAATATTTTTTAAAGGAAAAAAAACTTAGTTAGCAACTTGAATTATCTGTAAAGGTCAGGCTGAAATCATCTTTGTCAAGTTTTTAAAACTTTTCTTTATTTCACCTCTTCTTAGTTTTATCAAGTTTTTTATATTAGCACTGAAGGTATTTATAAGAATTTCTAATGTAGTTCTAGCGCTGTTAGAACTAATATTTATCTTTTAAATATTTTTCAGGGTGTTTAAATGCATAAAATTTATCTAAGACTGTTAAAAGTAAGTACTCAAAATATTTTGTCAATAGTACTTACAATTTCATTGAACTCGTTTGTTTTGACTGTTATGCCGAAAAGTAAAACACAACATCAACTTCTTGATTTTATCATTGGAATCACACGTTATTTCCCGCCCTTGCAAACTCGTTACTATCTTTCATCCCTATGTCTTCGAAAATCACGCTGTACACAACGCGGGCGAAAACTTTACTAAACCTTCGGACCGATATTCTACGAGAAGATGAGCTTTCGGCGCAAGCGCATTGACGAAGAGATGTTCTTCAAGAATGAAAACGATCATTCGCCTACATAGCGCATGCCTCTCGGGTAGAGGTGGCAGAAACGAATCAAGTTTAGTTTTTGTTTCGTTTTTTACTTATTTCTAACTACGACTTTTCCGAAACTGAAAGTGGTATTGCGACAGATCGCTAGAAAGAATTCCATTTTAGAAAGGTAAACAAAACTGACCTTTCACAATTCTTAAAGTTTTTAAACTAAAGGAAATAAGAAAAGATAACGAATTTTGCTTTGATTTCTTCGAAATAAAAACATTTTAAACATTTTTTGAGGGACGTAATAACTTGTACACAAAAAAACAAAATTTGTCTCACTTTAAAAATATTTTTATTTCATTTTTTTGGATGAATAAATAAGTTATTTTAGTGATATAACAACCACAAATAAATGTTCAGCAGAAAAGTACAAAAAATATATTCTTAAAAAACGTAATAAATGCTGGTTTATTAATAGAAAACCAAAGTCAGGAAAAATATTTTTTTAAAAACCCTTCCTTGTTCTTTTGAAAATTAGAATAACTGTTTCGAAAACCATAATTTACTGGTTGAATTTTTGGGCAACATTACAAAAAAGTATATGTTGCCTTATTCGCGTAATATCACGTTCTGTACAAAATTTTAAACTGGTTAATCAAACAGTTATTAACATTTAAATTAATTACAAGGACAATCAATAATGTTAAACACTCAAACTCTATCAAATTTTATCCCGTTTGATTCGAAACCAACACCTTAAATAGCCTTAACTTAATTTGAATTCGCTAAAAGATTTTTTAAAAAGAAAATAGCAGTAATTAGTGGAAAGTATACAAGAAAACTAATTTACTAATTTTGAGTGAAGATAATCGCGAAAATTATATTATCTTAAGCATTCATATGCACATTTTTTTGCACAAAAGCTATTTGGAACCAGTTGGAAAATTATCTGATTACAGTTTGCTTAAATTGGCTTTATTTTAAGCTCTTTATAAAGTCTACGATTTTAAAAAATTGATTGGCCGAATTTTTTTAATAAGTCTAAAAACCAGCAGAATTTGCTGACTCCCTTTGCATCAGATAACGAACTAAACAAAATTGACCGGAAAATGTCAAATTAAATATCAAGTTTAAGAGTTAATAGGTAAATGGGTGAAAAAAGAACACAATTCAAGGGAAATTAATGTCACTACTAAGTATCCAGTTATACAAATTATCTACTATAACGTTGTCAATCAATTTTTCACTCATGATTCACGTGCTGAAACATTTGCTGCTATCAATAAAATGTATCATAGCCAGCTTGGTATATTTTATTAATTTTGCATTATGCAGAAATAGCTCTTCCGTACAATGCAAAAATGCGTAAAAAAATCTTCTAGCACAAAAAAAGTGAAAGCTTCATAAAAAATAGCTCTAAGTATCAATAAATCAAGTAGTCACATCACATATTAGAAATTAGAACTTGCCTCACAAGACACTCTTAGCTAAACATTTTTCTATACTTATTGTGGATGTGCTTTTCCAAAAGATCAATCTATGTCAGAATTTCTTCTAAAGGAAGGTAAACAGTAGCAATCTGTAATTTAAGCAATTAACCCTCTGACCGAGAAGTTTTTAATCAAAAATCAATTAAAGCTAGACTATTTTTCATTCCATAAAGCAATTTTTCAGACATTTGCAATAAGAATTTTGTTGATATTACCAAAAGGCCTAGTTTAAAGATTTAAAAAAATCATATAATATCTGTGTAAAATATTTAAAGTATCTAACAAAAAAATTAACGAATCATTAAAATGTGTAATCGAATTAAAATTATATTATTTATAGTTGTTTTAAAACTTTTACTTCTTCTCACTTTCACATTGTTTGTATTATTTGTACTTATTTTATTTCATGACGAAAGCGGCCTTATTATTTAAGCAAAAGTAGTGTTGATATAGACATAAAAGGTTTTTCATATCTCTAATACATCTCTGATACATCTGGTTAAAATGTTAAAAATTCATTGGAATCATTTGAAAATCATACAGAATCATTTGGGTTGTAACCTTCACATAAAGTTTATTTGTCCAGAGGTGTTTAGCGTCAATGCATTGCTACTTCTTCATAGCCAGCTTGATATCAATTCCACTGCAAAATTAAAAGAATTGTAAATTGCAGAACTTAAAACTACCTATAACACAGCAAAAATCCATGAAATTTTACAAAAACCTGAAATTCCGCTGCACGAATCAGTACAAGTGAACTAACTTTTACTACACCAGTTTGCAAGTCAAAAATATTTTACAAATGTTTTCATTCGGTACATATTTTCTTCAGCTATCATTATGAAAAAAATGCTTAATTTGGAGGAGAAAAATTTAATGAATGGTAACTTTCTATTTATTTCCTATAACCAATATACATTCTTATTAACTGAAATTATTGCATATGAAATAAACTAAATTTTAATTCTTAGCTAAGTATTCTTCTTTTTCAAGTAATACACCAACACTTACAAGTAAATTTCTTACTTTAAGAACAATTTATTATTTTATTAACTTTTTATTATTTTATTATTCTTTTATTTCAAAATAATGCAATTGATAAGAAGCGATATTTTAATAACTTTTATCATATTAATGTTACATTTAATTTATAAACATTGATATTACTTTATCTGATTTATATCTCTGCTCAGAAATAAGAGTTCAAGTTTGCTACGCTAAGGAAATAGAAAATTTTCATTTATTTGTTTTATGCCAACTGTTTAATCTCTCATTAGCGTGTTCTTACCAGAATAAATTTTATTTTATGCATGAGGTGTCTCCCAAAGGAAGAATAATGGGACCAATGATGCCCTCCAATTACCTGAAACAGCAAGTGACCTTAATATATTTAAATAAAAATCTAAGCTCCTTGTGAACAAGAATATATTAACCTAAATACTTAATAAATAGCTTCCAACAGTTTGCTCAAAATTCTGATTTGAGACATCATTTTGTATGCACTATCTTACTGTCGTATTTTCTATATTACATTCTAATTTTGAAAACGCTTTTATTATATCACTTCTAGAAAGCATTAATTTTGATGTATTCGTGCATTTTCTACGGCTATTTTTGGTTTTAACTTAAATTTGAAATATAACAGGCAGTAAAAAAAGTTTTTTTTATTAAAAAAAAATTTAGTATTTTTGCTTGTATGTTTCATTACGTTCTAGCATGTTGCGTATGTTTTATTAAACATAATTTTGTCATATTTAGTTTATTGTGACCTTATTCACTTAAAACTTAAAAATAGTTATGACATATGTTGTAAAAACCCGTAATAACTTGGCAATGAATAGTACTTGTAAGTAATAGAAGAACTTACAAGAGTGTACAAAAATTCAGTTATTAATGAATACTGCTCAAACTAATCTTTTTTATCTATATTACTGTACAGAATTCTAAAATGAGCATTATGTTAAAATAAATATTTAATATCTTTAAAAAATAGCTTTTTTATAAGATTCGAATTGTTTAAATAACACCAATGATATTGAATATATCACATTTTGCAAAAATTATGATTCAAGTATAAAAAGATTTTTTTTATAATTTCTCACAAACTTGCACTTTATTATTTATTTTAACTCATGTAATTTTTTTAAAATTGTAAAATTTTTAAATGCTAATAAATTAAAATAATATAAATAATTATTAAAATAATTATTAATAAATAAAGCACTTATTTTATAATTTGAGGATGCAACTGCAGAGGAATTTCAATATGCAATATTTTTCTACGTTCTGAACCAATATCATTAAGTAGTGGGAATTTATGCATGATTTTTTATGAAAAGTTTGTGAAACACGAAAAAATATCAGCCTCCCTGCTATGCGTTGAAATTTGAACTAAAGAACGCCAATTTAACTCATTCTTGTTTGCTTGTCATTAAAAAAATCAAAGGAATATATTTGAAAATAACGAATGGAACGAAATCTAAGGACTTTTACTTTAAAATATTTTTGCACCTTATTTCATTAAAAGCAACTATGTTTCTCAGATCATATTCTATTCAAACATTTCAAAATAAATTTTCTTACCATTTCATCTCAACTGATTTTAAAAACATATATTTAATTTCAAAAAAAAAAATTTGACTTTAATAAAAATAATTGATTAAGGAAATAATAGTTTACCTTCATTTTTTCTTGTTTTTCTGTGTTTCTCTTAAAAATTATGATCCGAAAATGATATTCTTTTCACAAAATTTCTCTTCCGAATAAAAGCTCACTCACGCATACGTATTTACGTAGAAACAAATTATTAAAAAAAGCGACCTAAAAAGAATTTTTCATGCATCGTGTTAAAGAAAAAGAAGGCGACTAGTTTTGAAAAACAGAAAACGATTTTTTTTTTTTGATTATATAAAAATCAATATTTTGCAAATAATTATTTCTCATTATTAATTTTTTAAACAACAATTTATGACAAATTAAACCTTCTTTTACGGGGACGAATTTTACGAATAAAACCTTTCAGTTGAATTAAAACAATATTTAGCTAAAGTAGTTATTGAAATGAAAACTCAAGTGCAAGCGATTTTAAATTTAATTATTGTTTTGCATAGCCTTAACTGTAAATTTCTCTAAAAATAAGTAAATGAGGATTTTACTTTTAATTTCCTTGCAATGCTCTATTACAAGATATAAATGTTTGCTTCTTTCTGAAACTACGAGAAAAAAAGGCATAAGAATAAATTTAAATTCTCTTCCATGGTAAGCTTTGTTTCATTTTCTTATTCAAATTTATACTTTTATGAAGAGAAGTAGAAAAAAACTCTATTCACTATATTAAATGTAATGGGTAAGAATTTATTATGGATTATTTATTTATATTAAGAAAATATATAAGAACTCTTATAAAGATTTATTTCGACGCATTTTCAAAATAATGCCGAAAAAATATATAGCGCTGAAACTTAGATTTTTCTAAACTGTTTGGCTTTGAAAAGTTGCTTATAA